TGGCCTTCAGTGAGCATGCCCCTGGAGATCAAACAAAGTGCATGTGAGCACCCTGCAACTATCATGTCCTTGGCAAGCCCCAGGAGGATGAAGATCACTGTGTAGCTGCATAATAAGGCAGGAAGCACAGCAGCTCATGGTGAACTGAGATGACTTTAAGGCTCAGCAGCAGGACAGCAGAAGTGAATAATGGCAGCATCACATTGCCATTTAAGTAGAGACATGAAGATTAGCAGTCAGATCATGATTTAGTTAGCCTCAGCTGTGCCAGAGGGCTCAGAAAGTTAAAAGCAGGGCAGGCAGAAGTGGTGGGTTTGGCCTGTGGAAAGGGTAACCAAGCAAGATGCCCTTCAGGGAATGTTCATCAAGTCGTCAGTGGATGACTGCTCTCAGAAGGGTGATTATGTGACAACTGTGTCTTCACTGATGGTAAAGTGCCCAGTATGACAGATGCTACACACTGGGGGAGTTACAGCTTAGCCCTTGCTCTGTGTTACTGCTCTGTTCTGCACTCTGATGTCCCCATTGTGGTGCTTCCTGAAAATGATCTTCCCTTGCATCATCCAGAATTGCCACACTGGAAGGAACTGAGCTTACTGCATCTGCATAAAGAGAGTCCACTGACTTTTCTCTAGTACTCCCCAGCCCTCAACAGCTGTGTATGAGCAGCTAGAGCAAGATCTTTAAAGTAACCATTCTGAAGTATAGTAGCATTGCTTATAAAGTGGGGATAAAAATATCCCTTTGCATATTGCATGGGAAACCTCGTAGCTTGGGGTCTTGCACTGGGAGTAGAAGCTGCATGAAAATCTCTTCTGTTCAGTCAGTAGTTTGGGATTAAGGCAGCAAGAACATCTTTCTTAAATCCATTCGGAAGTGCTTGACTTTGTGTTTAGGGAGACAGTAAGTTGGTGCTGAAGTCTTGTCCCTGTTAGTTCAGTTCCATTTCTGCAGGGAAAGCTGCTTCTACAGCAGAAGGGAAGTGCACATGGATGAGCCTGAGGGGGAGGACTAGGTTTATCCCAAGTGTGTTATGCAGTATTGCACCTTTAAAAGCAAGAGAATTTGAGTCCCATTTGCTTTACAAGGCTGAGGTTAGAGAGTAGGTTTAAATTTGTTTTGTGATAAATTCTAAGAATTATAGAAAAAAGTGCTCATAGCAGAGTTTTTGCTTATCTGTGCTGCATTTTCCCCCTTTATTTTATAGTTTGATTCTTTCTCTTATTGAATATAGCCTGGAGCAATATAATTGAGGGAAATACAGACAAAAGTGTAGAGGTTGTGGGGTTTTATTGTCTTTTTTCCCCCTGGTACTCCAATAAGCACTGTCAATAATATCTGCTGGGAAGGGTGGTTCTCTTTTTATTGCAAACCTGGAAAGTTCTCAGTCTATTTCATTGTCTTTCTGTTCTGACTTACCAGGGTGTCTCAGCATCCTTAATTGACAAGGAGACTTACTGGTTTTGAGGCATTTTTTTCTATAAACTGAGGTTTTCAGCACAAGTGCTGCGGCATAAGGGTTAGCAGTGCTGGAAGACTGATAGAATTGCTCTGTAGATGGAAAAAAGTGATGTTAAAATATATGACATGACAAAAGTAGGTCTCCTAAAAGTCACATGCAGCATTTTACATCTGGGCTGGCAGCAAAATTTCCGTCCTGTGATTATAACATTTTCTCTTCTGGTAATAGTTCCACACTGAGAGGGGAAGATGGGTAATTTCTTGCTCCTTGTTAAAAGTTGTCTTCACCTAAAATTTTGTCTGTAGGCCACCAGCCACACTGCTTACTGTATGAATGGCAAATCCCAGTACCTCACTTTATGCCCAGACATAAGACAAGAGGTTCCCTGGTGGGAAGCAGCTACTCCAGCAGCTGTTGTCACTTGTGCACCTGTTTGTGTTCGAGCTGCTTCCTTTGCAGGCACTGGAGAGGTACTGGTAGTTTTGGGACCCTTTGGACCTGGCCTGACCAGCCTGTGGGGGTATGGGGATGCAAAGAGATCAGTTCAGGTGGAGAGATGGCTGTACTGTGTGAGACAAATCACCCATTGCTCAGGCAACTCCCCAGCCCTGCTTGTGTTAGAGGAGAGAACTCAGTGCTGGCTGGGCCCTCCCCGCCCTGCGTCTGTGTTTAGTTCAGGTAGTTAAAGGTACCTGGAAGTGCAGCTTCTCTGCTATAGAAAGAGACCCAAGAAAATGAAGAAAGCAGGGAAGTAGAGACCTCTGTGTCTCCAAAATGCTCTCTGATCCTTTGGTGTCTGGAAGAGGCCTTTTTTTGCTACAGGGCATCCTAAATGAGTGTGGGCAGGGATGTTCCTGCAGGAGAGCATCTGTGCAGTGAGGAGAGACAGGAGCTCTGCTGCTTTCAGACTGTGTTAGGGCCAGGAGGAATGTGGTTTTATGTATGGCTGAGAACTCTCTGCTTCACTGCCTTTGGGCTTTACTTTTGAGTTTGGGTGTGAGTCTCAAAGTTCAGCAAAACCAGGTCATGTAACACAAGATTCCCCCTCCAACTTGTCCCTAGGTAGGCAATGACTCAGAAATGGCTGGCATTATGAAGAGGGAAGTTGTTAAAGCTGACCAGGTGTCTGTCAGGTCAGAAAGAGAAAGGAACCTGAAGGGGTTAAGCCTGTATTTGCTATGGTGATACAGCCTTCTGGTGCAAGTGTTTCCATCTATAGAAAGGATGTAAGGAAGCATCAGGGGATCTTGGGTGCTTTTCTGATAAACTCTGAAAATGTCATAAGTTATTAATAACAAGCAGATTTGGTCAGTGTTTTACATGGTAGGCTATTTAATAGAAGTAGGAGAGATTTTCCTGTTCCAAAATTATTTGCGTGGTTGAAATATAGTTTGCATCCCTAAGAAGGAGGAAAAGGTGCTATTCTAATTCTATCCTGTAGTTAAGTCATCTTCTGAAGAAAGGAGATAAGGTCAGGGTTGTTTTCTCTCCCTGCTCCTCTTCAGAGAGCTTTAAGACAAGACCCCCTCACTTCTCCAGCACACAGAAAGCCTCAGACTGCAGGAGCATCTTCCAAATCTCTCCTTCTGGAAGCTCTTCCACTTCATGCAAAGTACTTCAACATTAAAATTTAACCAGTGAGTAAAATTAAGGCTAAGATTCATTCAGGGACTCAAATGTAGGTGTCTCATATCAGAGTGCCTATTAGTGCTTTTACTGTTGTGGTATTAGATAAAAGGGAGGAAGGGGATGGACTTGAGGAGGGTGGTGCAGGTATCTGTGTCTGAGAATGCAGCTTTTCATTTCCTCCAGCTTTGATGTGCTTTTCTAATGAAAAGCAAGTTAAATGAAACTTCTGCATTCAACAAAATAGGTAATGCATTTAGGTAAGAAGAATGAGCTAAGTGTTTTGCTAGGTGTCATTTTGACATATGTTGGCTTGACCAACACTAGCTTCTACTTAATGACCAGTACAATTGTACTTATTTACTGTCCCAGCATTGAGAGTTGCTGGGAGAAAGCCTGACTGTAGCCTACAGCACTGACTGCGCTGAAATCACTTCTTTTTTAAGGCAGCACAGAAACCATCTGATCTGACTTACTCAGTGGCTTTTGTGGCTGTGAGAAAGTACCTGACTCTTGCCTGGCTAGTGTAGGGATTGCTGAAACTGAAATCCTTTGCACCTGCAGCCTGTCTCCATTTGAGATGCCTGCTGCTGCTGCTGTCAGTGCAGGAGAGCAGGGTGAGGGACTCCCAAAGGGGAGTCGTGCAGGGATGCAGCGAGAGCGGGGCTCCGGATGGGTACATCAACACACAATGTGACCACGATTATGTAACGAGCATGGCTTATTAAACAGCCTCACCAGAGGCATGAAAGGCAGGAGCCTGACGAGATTTTGGTATGCTACGCTGGATTCTTTCCTGTCCATTGAGCCAGCAATAATTGGGTCTTATTTATTTACTTTTGGAGGGTGGTCACATAAAACCACAAAGTCCTGTCACAGAAGGAGGATCTCCTCCATGCAGCAAGTGTGTCTGTTCACATGCAGTCAGCTCACTTGTCTTCCAGCAGCAGTGACTGTGACAAATTTTTAATCTTGCATGATTACAATTGAATTTGTTTTTGACCACTTAATTGGTGTTTGATTGGTAGGGTGACGAGGAGACAGGTGATAAAGCTGCACACCTCTGTCATGTGAAGTTCAAGCTGGTTTTGCTATTTTTCATGTTTTCCTTTTACTCTTCAGCAGGAAAGTATAAAATGTTGTAGAGGCAATAGGAAAGAGCCAGCCAGAGCATGGCTGGCTCATGATACACAGGGGCTGGGAAAGGTCCCTGTTGGAAACAAAGATTCTAATCTGCCAGAGTGTATGGCACATGTTTTAGGAGGGGGAGAACATGCAGGATTTTGAAACAGAAGTGGTCTGAGGTGCCCATAAATGCTTCAGTGGTTAGTTTTGGAAATGTCTTGTGTCTGTCCCTTTCCGAATTTTTCTCCCCAAGTCCCACAGAGCTGCACTCACATGCAGCCCTGATTCAGCACTCAGTTGCTCTGAGTTTACACCACTGTAATACCAGTGATTTACGTAGCTTTCCATTGGCATAAAGCTGGCACTGCATGATAGTGACTCAACCATACAAAAAAGCAAGGTGGTTGGCTTCACAAGCAGAATAAGAAACAATGAGCACATTCTTTGCAACAGTGTTAGCAAATACTCTTCTGAACAAGTGGCATATTCTAAATACATCGACTAAATACTTCCATTTGGTAGGTAACTTTCAGAGAATTGATGTTCCATAATCTGTTTCTACTGCACCAAGTATGCATTTCATTTTACCTGCTCATCCGATCTCAATTATATTTGCCTGTCTGTGTATTATATGTGAATATTTTACAGCCATGCTTGGAAGGAATCACTGAAAGCAGTCTTACCTGCCAAGCACTTCTACGTTTACTCAGGGCTTAATGGGAGACAAGCAAATTTGGTCTTGTGCTACTCAGTATATCTTATAATAATTATTATTTTTATTTTGCAGAACCCCAGCTGAAAGGAATTGTGACAAGGTTATTCAGCCAGCAGGAATACTTCCTGCAGATGCACCCAGATGGTACAATTGATGGGACCAAGGACGAAAACAGTGACTACAGTAAGAAAAATTAGCCTGTTTTGCAACCCAATTACAATCAAATGCATCACCTAGTGGGTCTCACTTGTTCAACTTCATTTTTGAAAAGATCAAATTAGGAGGAAGACAGCTGTTTTCTGCATATTTTTTTCTATCTATCTGTCCCCTTTAAATCTTGCCAGTATAATTTCATATGTTTCCTCTCCGATCTTCTTCCCTCCTGCCCCGATTCTGTAACTGCCATCTGGGTGGGGTGGAGAATAAAACCCATGATTTGAATTGCTGCCAGAAGAGAAAGGAGATTATATTTATACACATGCCACGTGGGTAAAGGATACGGGGAATTCTCTCTCCAAGGAGAAGAGGAGAAAATTGTTTTCACTATTTTAGCCTCAAAAATTCAGCAAGCATCAGGAATTTCTAGGCTGGAGAAAAGCAGCTGTTCACTGAAGTCTCGTGCTTTGAGGCTGGTGTAGGGGCTGAGGGTATCAAATGACCTTGTCAAAGAAGGTCATCTTCCAAAACCCTGTTCAAAAGGATTGGGTTTGTGCTGGACAGCAAAGGGCAGCAGAGCCGCACAGTTTAAAAACCATGGCCATGTGCAGGAGCCATACAGGTTTAAATGCATGCAAAACAGTAGTCAGTCTTCCTTTTGAAGAGAAAGTTGTTTTGTCAATGCTAAAACTCTTCAAAAGGTTAAAAAAAGGTGTAGAATATTTTCGGCAGCATCTCTGCATTTCATAGGCATCAGAGTGCTGGCCCTGAGTGGGCAGTTAAACTCAGATCCTTGCTGCCACAAATTGCATAAACAGGCTAGGATTCAAGTCTTGCTTTGTCTTCTCTATGTTGGTTTGGAGCTCCCTGTACCACTGCTAAACGGGTATTTAACCTGGCCAGATTGGCCAGTCGTTATTAGAGGTGAACAAATGTTAATCTGTCTGGTAGGGTTGATGGAAGCAAACTTCATGTACTTTGTGAAAGGAGGAGCCTGGTTGATTTGCAGACAAATTTTGGTCTAATTCAAAGAAGCTCCTGGTTGAATCGAAGGTGGCATTCCTCCAGGAAGGCAGAGGGGCTGCAGGTGAGGGGTGTCTGTAGGGGTGCAGCATTGGCATTGTCCTGTGAAGGTGCACTTGGACAGGGGTGCAGCATCCCCAGGAAGCTGCAGGGTGCTGTAGCAGGAGCATGCTGTGTTCTGGGGCTGCCCTGCTGCAGGTAGCTCAGGGCTGAGGGTCCATAGAGGAGAGAGGAGCTGTGGGAAGATGGTGACTGAAATTGCAGGTGGCTGGCAAAGCCCTTGTGGAATGACTCAGGAGGCTGCATCCACCAGAGATGTGGCCTGTATCAAATGCAAATGTCAGGTTTTAGTCCTTTTTCATACACTCATATTGAAGAAATTAAATACTGCAAATTGCAATAAGACAATTTTTGATTTATGTGTGGAGCAGGAGAATCTGTGGACTTAGACACACACACTTCTACACTCAGACTCAGGAGGTCTCCTTCAAAAGTCTGGCCTTGAGATACTCTCAGACAGACACCAACACATGGGGTGAGTTCAGTGGGCTGTATTAGCTGCCTTTTCTTAATGGAAGAAGACCTGGGGTGTTCTTAAACTGCAGAAAATCCCATTGGAGGCCTATTTGTCAAAAATATGGGAAGATACGCTAGAGATGACAGGGATTCATTGCCCTCATCTATCATGGAGGACTGAACAACAAAGTAATGGGCTTAAATGGGAGCAGGGATGAATTTAGGTAAACAGCAGAGAGATGTAAGAGCAGTTCTGCAATATTTCAGAGTGACAGGGGAGATGAGGGAAGCTGCTGCATTCTCAGTGGTTGCAGGGGAACCTCCTGAGTTCCCGTGGCTGAGGCTGGGCCCCAGTTGCCCAAAGAGCTGTGATTTATATATCGCCCCAAGATATGTCAGAGAGGAGTTTGGCCAGGTGCTGACTACTTGAGAGCTGCTTCCACCCAGTGTTCTTAACTGGAAATAGATGGGCTGAAGTACACTTCTAGAGTGTAAATTTATCTGGTGAGATGGCAGCCCTGCCTCGGCAGCTTGGTGGGACAGGAGGCATCTCACTGAAGTGTGCCAAGCCACTGGCTCAAAGTCAGGGACTATGCTGGAAAGTTTAGGCAAGTTTTTGAGAGAAGATTGAAGCCAAAGAATTCCCCATCTACTGATCTCAGGGGATCTCAAAAGAGGGAAAGAATCCAACCTGGTAATATTTTGCTCCTGAAAATGAAATTAGGACTGTGCTTTATTCAGTTTTATATAGCTTTTTACCACATGGTCTCATCAATAAATCTTCAGTGTGAATGAACATTTTAGAATATATAAAACTTCCAGTTACAGCTTTGAAATGAAATCACATTTTGCACTTTGGAAGTGCCAAAATAAAGCTGACTGCCTTTTTTCTTTTTTCTTCCTCCAAAAAAATCTCAAATTTTGACCAGAAGAATGTCAAAAGTTACTTGTCTAAGTGAACAGCTTACAGACTTACTTCACTTCAGTTTTCTGTTTTGAAGTGCTTCTGCAGAAGATTCCTGACCAGCCAGTCAGAAGTGTGTGCAAGAGCACAATTCATCAAAGACTGGATAAATAATATTTTCCCATCCCTGAAGAGCGGTTGGTTAACTTGCATCCACGGGGGAAGGGCTCTCTAGAGGGCCACAAGAGGATCCTTCCCACCCTAGATGACCATCTATTCTCCACACAGAAGTCATCTTAGCACAGTTAAACAGCTGGTGAACACCGTGTTCCATACATTGCTTTGTGTTCTTTATCCCCACACTGATTATTCAAATTAGCATTGTGAAAGGATGCATTATTTTCATGGAATACATTAGGTTGGCTTACTCTGACAAAATAAATGTTTAAAATGAGACACACCATGTCCCTCAGATACATCTGATGGAATTAAAAGTTCTAATAAAAACCCAGTTATTTATACAAGAGGAACTGCTAATATTTAAACAATTTTAAAATTAATTATCTGTTGCCCATTTTTTGTATGTTATTGAAGCTGATGGCATTTATTTTCCACCTCCTCTCACTTAAAGAAAAAAAAAACCCAGAAGCCAAATTCTAATGGCATTTGAACGGGCATCCATCCAGCTTCCCAGGAGCCAGCACTTGGGACATCTGTTCCTTCTGCCATGCTGTTAGAGACGTGCCATCTCAATGTAAGCAGGGGTGCACATTCTCTGGCTACTGCCATTGGCACATGTGAAGAATTTTCTTCCCACTGGAGTGCATTTTCATGGTGTATGACCCCTGTTTGTGTTCCTCCTGTGACGTATGAACCCCAGATTGGGGCAGTATCTTTTCCTCCCAGCTTCAGTGATCTCAAATGGCCTTTTAGGGCTCACTGCTGCTGTCAGTGCTTGCATTGTTACTGCTCTCCCCTGGGCTGAGCAGGGTAATGCCCCTTCATAACTGCAAGTGGACTTCCCTGTCTGCCCACATAATCCTGCTGAACATCTGAAAAGTTTTGGCAAATGGACAGTACAGAAAGGATAGGTGAATTGGACTGACCAGGTGGAAACAGCCCAGCATATCTAGGCTATTTTTTGGGGATTTCCTGCCAGAAACACCAAAATATTAAAGAGGCTTGCATTCCAGCATCCCACTGGAGTTATCTTCAGCTGTACAGAACCTTGTCGAGTTCTTTCAAACATTTCTAGCAATGAGCTATTCCATAACCTCTCATAACCTCTGGGGTTCCAGTGCTGCACTATTTTCTTTGTAAAGAATTTTCTTCATATCCAGTCCTCATTTCTATTTAAGGCTTTTGTCTAGTGCCTCTTGTCTTTTCATTGTGTTCCTCTGAGAAGAATCTTTGCCTGCCTTGAGTTAAGCAAATGCAGTTCCCTCTGTTTCTTCTTTCATTATGTGTTGCACCAGAGCCTCTTGATCATCTCAAGCCTTCCTCACTCCCCTCAGGACCTCAATCCTCACCACCTCGTGCACTGAGGCTGCTCTGGCCTATTGCATCCTCCATCAGTTCTTTGCTGTTCATGTGCAGCACAAATGTCTTGCTCAAGAGCAAATCACCTATTATAATTTACTTTAGCTCCTCTGACTTGCTGCTGTTTAAAGCTGAGCGCATCTTGTATATGGCAGGTCTTACCTCACTCTTCCCTTTCTGTAGATAACTTAGACCCATAGGGAGTCATGCATTCAGAATTTAGCTGATAAATTACCATAACATAACAGTGACAATATACTCATGCATTTAGGACTGGAGTGTGCTAGAAGTAGTAGGGTCAGGTGTAAATACCACTGGTTGAAGATGGTAAGATGTAATGAAAGAAAAGGGGCACAAATATTCAACATCTTCAAGTTTTTTCCCTTTTGCCCATGAAGTAAAAGAGCATGTTCCTTCCATGAAGTTGCAGATTGCATAGAATACGTGCCATTTGCAGTAAAGAAGCAGTTTTAAAAGCATTTTTAAATCTTTCTCTTTCTCACATCAGCACACTCAGTGTCCAGTTCTATTCTACCCCAGCTAGTCCTATTTCCCATTTTCAAATCTGCTGTTTCAAATTAATTAGATCAGTTTTTTTGAGATGAAAAATGAGACCTCTTGCTTTTGAGGTTGATTGAGGGTTTTCCCTCCATTTTTACATTCTTACTTTTAAGCTTATAAGCTTTTAAATCTGTTCAAAATATGAAATATTTGGAAGCGTCATAGTAAAAGGCATCAACTTCTACAAAGGCATTTCTAGATTGGAGTGCAGACATTGCTCTGGGAATTTACAGACTCTTGATTGACCCAAACCACTGGTTTTTTTAATAGAAGAAGATATTTGCTTCCTAAAACTTCTTTTGGCTGCCAGTTACCTCTGTCAGCTTTGTGTCCTTATGCTTGCCTGCCCACATGCTCTCCTGCATTAGAGGAGGACATGCTCAGCCATGATTGTGGGTGCAGCAGGGTCCCAGGGAGTTTGGGAAATGGCAGTGGTCCTCCTGCTGTAGCACAGCACAATAGGATTGTTCCTTTGGTCCCTTTGCATGTAGAGGTGGAAAGAGATTTGGAGACACGTGGGTGCTTCCAAGTGGAACTTCTCAACCACTAATTCTGGGTGTTATCACCTTGCTGCCTAATGAATGCTTTGAATGGTCTGTCACAAGTTTCCTATGCAAGACAAATTGGCTGTAGGAAATGAATGATGATGCCCATTTTGTTTCATTATTAGCAGTAATATGCTCCATTTTTCAGTAGGAGGAAGAAATAGGGAAGGGGAATTGCTTATAGACTTGTTAATTGCAGAAGGTTTTAGACCTTCATGGTCAGGAGAAAGGAATAGGCAACACTTCTAATGCTGAGTAGTTACTCTGGGATGTGTTCGTCTTGTCTAGGGACAGTACCAGGGTAGCACTGTCCTTGACTCCAGTTATTCACAGACCAATACCCAGCCTGGACTGCATTTTCCATATACATCTATTAACATTCTCCCCCAAAAACACACATACAGGCACTGGATTTGGTAAGACTTCAGCACATGCTTTGATGTTTTATGGAATATGGTGTACAAAAGCACAAGAAGAGGCTGAGATGAGGGGTTTTTTCACTAGACTTGAGATGTCTCCATTTTAGGCAGCTCTTTGAGGGGAGTTATTCAGTCTTCCTTGGGAATTAAGTGAAGAAAAAATTATATTCATATGCACTCTAATTTATTGATCCTCTTTTGGAGGCAACCCTGAAACCAGCACAGCCAAGACACCTGGTAGATGTCCTGAGCAAAGTGCCATTGCATATTCTTGTTTCAGGGCTGTTGTGTAGGAAGAGACCTTGAGTGAAGTATTTCCACTGTGTTTGTGCTTATATTTCTGCCTGACCCTGTGCCCATCTTTCCCTATCTTCAGCTTCCTGGGATGAGTTCTAATTAGCTCTTTGTAAGCTGAAGCACAAGGGATCCTAAACATCTAAATACTCTTGTCCTATAAAGCTCAGTAGAAACAAAGCCATGCTAATGCTTCAGTGCTCAGTCTATCAGTGCTGATAATAGTCTCCTCTTTGAGCCCATGCTGTTAGAAATGTAGCAAAAGCCTGACAGTACATTAATGTATATACTCATGGGAAGAGTCTTTCAATGAGATACAGGGTCTGTCGGGTGGGAATCAAGCAATAAAGTAATTAACTGAGAGGAAGTGGTTGCAATGCTTTAATCAATAGGACTGCAGTAAAACTGAATAATTGAAGATCTTGTCCTCCTCTGTCCTCTCCAGTTCTGGTCCTGAATGGGGAGCAGTGCTGATGTCCCAGAGTGAAGCACTGTCTCTTCTTGAGTTTCTTCATTCCCTTGACAGCTCAGGATCACATGGGCAAACACACAGTCAAGTTAATTTGCATTCTTCTGGCCATGGTCGCTGTCTGTGTACTCTTTTAGCATATGGCAAATGCAGGAAAGTGTGACTAGGCTTAAATTTGTTTCAGGGGGAGCTAAACTGAGTTGTGTTTTTGTGTTTGCCACAGGCAAAGTCTGTCTATGTGCATTTGATACTTGCCCTGGCTCAGCTGGCCCTCAAAAAGCCATACGATGCTCTTGCTTGGGAGCACAGATGAGCCCTTGGCATTGCAAAGGCAGTGATCAGACAGACTGATGGGTGTGTTAAGGCATTTGGGAGGCAGCCAAATTCAGTACTCTTAAAAATTTCCTTTCACCATCGGCTCCATGGCTGCAGTCCTTCCCTGTAGCTGGAAGCAGGATGCTTGATCCTAGTGCAGCCACTTTTGTGAAGAGGCAGGAGTGGGGTGGGCTGGCCCTGGGGCAAAATCAGCAGTGGCCATGTAGGGTGATATGTCCATAACATTTGCTTTCCTTTTCCTTCCACAGCCCTTTTCAATCTAATTCCTGTGGGTCTTCGTGTGGTGGCAATCCAAGGGGTGAAGGCAGGTCTGTACGTTGCCATGAACGCTGAGGGATATCTCTACAGCTCAGTGAGTACTTTGCACTGTTGGGCTCCTGGAGTTTTGTAGGTGGGAGGAAGCAGACTGCGCCGGGACTTCCAGCTTTTCCTGAAAACAGTCGCATATCAGCAAACCTTTACAAGCTGGAGCAGGGGGAACTGCTGCAAGACCATGCAGTATTCACTTAATAGAATCTCCATGGAGATTCATGGCAATATTTCCTGACCTGTGAAGATACACTTTTGGTTCCTTTAAGTATGTACTTAATGTAGGTCACGTTGTTGAGGTGTTTTTATAGAGTTGGCTGGTCATATTCTGATTTCTCATTTGTGAAATGGCATGGACTCACTGGGATTGCTTCTGAATTGCACCCAGATAACTGATCATAGGTGGTACCCCAATCGGTCATACTCTGCTTTTGACTGCAGTGTAAATCCACAGCAATGCCATGACTCTCTTAAAAGGGTTCTGGACTATTCTGTTGGCAGAAATTCCCTGTATTTGTGTGGTCTTTTTAATGCACATAAAAGATAAGTGCAGCAGTTTTTGCCGACTAATTCCCTTATAACTTTCTTAGATGACATGAAAGGGCATGAGGTTATTCATAAGATTCTCATTTAAAGTAAGTAATTGATTTTCACAGTGAATAATTGATTCGGTGATTTATTAAATATGGCAACCCTTTGCCAGAATTTTTACGCTTCAAATAACTTTGTTCTAGTTCTACATAGTAAAAAGGGATAGTTAATAATACACTTCTCATTTCTGTAGTTATGATAGCTTTACAGTGCATAGCCAGATTCTAATCTCATCTGCCTTTGTGTAAATTTACAGTGCAGTGATTCTGCTCTTGTCTGGGCACTTTCTTTTGCTTCAGAAGTCTTGTGAGCATGACAGTGGTACCACTGAAAGGACAGCAGTTTGGGTTGCTCTATGCAATTTTTCATTGCTTTTATCTTCCATCTTTGTTCCTGGTCAGTTTTATACTGGTCACATGATTGAGATTTCCCCTTTTCCCCTGGGATGTGACAAGGCTCTGTCTCCCCGGCAGCTCAGGGTAGGAAGCAAGTGGAGGTGTTAGTATGCCTGGCGAGATAGGTCTCAAAACTGGCTGCTTGTCAAGAAGAGACAGAGAGATCAGTCTGGATCTCTGTAGATGCCAGACGTTTCCTGTTCTTTCATAGCCCAGTAAACATAATTGACTGCTTCTAAATAAATTAAATTGGTTTACTAACAATGAAAACTTCCTTTCTTTGTAAAGCTATCAGAGTCCTGAAGGTAATACCAAGCATGGTGTGGTACTGCATTATTGTGTGTATGTCCCTCTGGGCACATTGTCAGGGGCTCAGGACTGATGCTTTGCCCTGTTTGTGCAGTGCAGAACACAGTTCTGGCCCAGTGCTGAGGCTCCTTGTACCATCAGTATGCTGTAAGTGAGGATTGCAGGAAATCAGAGTGTGTCTCAGAGCCACAGCCAGCCAACAGGTTTGTCTTGGACCAATGAGTGGTCATCATTTTCTGAACAAGTAGTGCAGGGGAGGGAAAGGTGTGGGTCTTGGGAAAAAGAAGAGTTGAAAAAATGATGTTTGACAGCTGAGAGACTAGAGGAGATGCAGAGAAAAATTTTCTCTCTCTTGTAGTAGTGAGACATGATATAAAGGGTGGGAGGGACACACCAAGAGGTGGTAGACAGCAGGAAGACCATGCTGTCCAGGAAACACATCTGTTAGTCATTTCAAGTATCCTAAAAGGCACCAGATCACACATGTATTCAAATGAGGGAGATTTAATGGGCTTGCTTATTTCCAACAAGTGTGCCTGTCTTGAGTAGGAAGGTTAATCAGGGAAGGCTGATGGGGAAGGATGCACTGTGATGGCCGGTGGTTAATGAAGTGAACCTCATTACATGCCACAGCTTGATGGCATTGAGCTCTGTCTGAGCTAATAAGAGTGAAACTGTTCATTTTATCAATGTGATCCAAGGTTTCTGCTTGCAGTAAGTATGTGATTCTCTGCTCCAGGGTGATGGACCTTTTTGGATACTTTCCTTGTGATGACTGGTGGCTCTGTCTTTGTCTTACAGCAGTAAATGAATGAATTCACTGTGCTTGGGAGCAAACCCCAAGGCAAGAAAATAAAAAATTTGTGGATAAAGTGTGTTAGGAGCAGGGAGTGTGGGTCAAGCTCATCATAAAGGACAAGGGATGAGATCAGGATGCCATGAAATAACTATGTCTGAGAAGAGCTCAGAACCTGTTTAGGCAGTCTCTTTTGGATGCTGCAGGTTTCCTTGTGGGGTCCCCAGGCCATGCTGCCTGGACCTCATTGCTGACCACACCAAGGGACACATTGTCCCTGGTCTTTGCTTAGCAGACTCTAAACTACAGATTTGTTCTGTGTACCTGGTTTTGTTTTTTTTTTTTCACTAGCCTTTTTTGGGGGATTTCTGAAAAAAAAGGGTCAACATTCCCCACAGATATCGTTCACTCACATAAGCCAATTGATAAATGAATTGCTTGGCTGCCTTCCATGCTTCGTGGAAGCTCTGTAAGGACTTCTTAGAACACCCTCAAGTCCAGGACTGGTTTCAAATAAAGTTGTCCAGGGTACTGTTTTTTTATCCTGTTTGTTTGTTTGTTTTTGGTTTGCGTTGGGGTTTTTTCCCTCCTCTTGAACCCAGATTGATGCTGTAACTGAACATGTCATCACTGTGGGTTTGTTTTGGTTTTGTTTTGAGGGGCTTTTAGTGAAGTTTAATCTCTGTGTGACAGCTGAGGTCTTGGCTGACATCCTCTGTACTGGATCAAGCCAGAGGCTGTTATCAGCCTGGTCTTAGGGAGGCTTGTGCCAGCTCCTTCTGAGTTTAGGCCAATGGGCTTTTGAATGAATGGGCTTAGAATAACCAGCCCCTGGAAAAAGTCTTCCTTCTGTTGATTAGCACAAAAGTAGGGCTGAGCAGAGTCCTCTAAAGCCAAACGTGGTGAGACAGCATTTCCTAGAAACTTGCAAGACCTTTTGATGGCTTGGCCACATCACTACCTTCAGCAATGAGTTTTCTCATCCCTGCCTCATCTGTTCAGGCAGGGATAGTGTCAGGCTGGGTTGAAGCCAACCACATATTCCTAGCCAGCTTTAGAGGCCTAAATTTATTAGATGCTAAACCTTTGTTTGGGAAGCAGCTGTTTGGGACTTGTGCATTGCTTACTCACACTAGATACCTGATTTAGTTTCCCCCAGACTAGGTTATTGCTATCTCTGAGGTCGACATGGGAATTAGGTGATAAGCAGACAAGAAAATCATGCTTTGGTTGGAGGCATCCTGCTTTGCAGAAAGTAGGATGCAAGCCACTGTCTGCATAGCAAGCTTGTGGAGTCATTGGTGTGTTCTGTTTGGATTACCTGTAATATACAGCAGCTGTAAATTCCCTGAGGGTGCACAAAGGTTTCAATCAGCACCTGTTCTGGGGAGGGGCTTGGCTCTCCTGAAGATCCACTGTTAGCATTTGATGCCAAAGTAAAAATGCACAGAATGAATGCAGGGCAGTGGGTATAACTTACAGTGCCTCAGCACTTGGGAAGAATCTGGCCACAGGCTGGTTGTTGCACAGTGTTCAGAAACATGGAATAAAGAGGTCTGTCCTGCTCCAGTGAGCCTAATCCTAACGGGATTCAAGACTCAGAACATGCTCTCCTGTCTGTCTGGAGTTAATAGTTCCAGCACCAAATTAATTTCCACTCCTGTGTAACTTTGTGGAGTTTCTCCCCTCAGTTCCCCGCTTTCCCTCTGTTATTCCTTCAACACCTCACAGGGCCATGGGAAAGGGAGTGCTTGTGAAGTATTTTGCCTGGAAGGCAAAGCTGGTTTTCCTGGAGCAGATCATTGTCATGGGGCTGTAGAGTCTCCACAGGTCCACCCAATCACTCCAAGTACACTGAAAGTGCATCTCTCAATATGATGATATCTATAATTCAGTGGCATTGCAGCTGGAATTGGTTTTGCCCCAAGTGCAAAACACTTCTCTTCTAAAATGTATTGCTCTCAGATATTCCTTGTTGTTTAACTTGGAGTTCTAATTATTTTTGAAATGGCAAACTGTGATGCATAATTTATTGGGAAGATGTAGAAAACCCTAGCAGAGATAGAGAATACAGAGGGAAAATAAATGGGTCACTTACAGGAGCTCACTATGGTTTTTCAATATAAACCTATGAGTTTGAAATGCTGAAATTAGAGCCTGAATCACTTCAAAGATTCCTGCTAATAAGGGAATGATTATGCACAATAAAAAAAAAAAAAATTCTAAGCAGCATTGAGAAAACCCCAGTCATGCTAAAAGCTCAGTGTGTCTTTGCATTTTCTTTTCCTCTCCTTTTTTCTGCTTTATCATTTTACATAATAAACATGTCTTGAATAATAATGAACAAGCATCTGGGGAAGTATGTATATTAACTGTATTTTTAATCTGCTTGCCATGCTATAACTATTTTGCTACAACTCCTCTAGGGTTGCTGCACTGCTGTTTATATCACTCCAAGGTCAAGGGCTGGAATCAATAATACTGCATTCTCTCCCCTAATAGGCTTGGGGTGTTAAACCTGCCCCTGCCAATTCAATTTCTAATTCTTGTTTGATCTCCAGTGGTGCCAGTTGATTTGGTCAGAAGTACCAATAGGCCAGGCAGGTATCCTGGACATTTTGCAAACCTTGTAAGAAAGCACACTTGTTGAGGGATTCCCTAGTTTACAGGCCTCATTAGGAAGCCAGGTCAGTGGAGGGGGAGAGAAATATCTCAAAGGCAAAGCACAGCAATGTAATGTGCCTTTAATTTCTCTCCAGAGTATCTACTCTTCTTCACTGGCTGTTTAAAGGGGCTCACTGAATGAAGGCATTAACTGGGAGATAAAAAGCTCCTCCTGTCCCCTGACTTTTTCATAAATATAGGAACAAAAATGAATATTCAAGGAAGCAGCAGTCCTGAGAAGAGCCAGCCCCTGGGAACAGATTCCTGCCTTGCATCGAATGTTCCTAA